TTTGAGACTTAATAACTAAAAGAAAATAAAAAAGGGAAACCACAACTTGAAACACAATGTTGTCATTTTTGTTGTTGTTTATACTCTAGTAGAAATATAAAGCAAGTCAAGAACAAGAAAAGTCAGAGTACTTAAACATTCCACAATTGCTATTATAGAAACAACCTATTTGCATAATTGATATTATATTTGAAGATAAGTGTGTTTTCCAAGTGTTCTCTAAGGATGAGGGAAATGGATAAGTAATTGGTAAATGTAGGAATCAAAAAAACTAAAAGGTACAATAAAGGAAATCCTTTATGTATTTTTCCACTTAAACAAAACTCACATACAGCCAAGGAGATCACAGAGAAATTTTGGAAAAGGAGGGAAAAACCTACAAAGAAGATGTTTTTGTAATATTTGGAACAGAAAAACTATAAACTTATTAATTATAGTGCAAAGAATATGGGCCTTAGCATCAAACAGACCTGACTTTAATTTATGGTACCCTTATTCAGTAGCTGTAAGGCCCAGGGCAAGCTGCTAAAGGGAGCTAGTTTGATCAGGTGTAGCATAGGGCAAGCTACTGCCTGGCTTGGTTGGGAGAATTAAGTGATATGGATGAGAGTGGCTGGTAAGCAGAGAGTAGTTATGAGCTTAGGATGCAACACTCAGGATGATTCAGCAGGTCTGAGCCTGGATATTTTTGCAAGCCTCCATGGTTGATTCTACTGCATGGGCAAGGTAAAAAGAACATGGGTACGATTCAATCCTTAGCACATGGTAGGTACTTGATAAAGGTTAGATGGTGTGTTTTTTTTTTTTTTTTTAAAGGTGGTCATGCTTCTTTTCATTAAACACAATGACAAGATCTGTCCTAAATGAACAGCTCAGATTTTTTGCTACTAGAGGTGGGGGAGGATAAAATGAAAAGAGAAAACAAAAGAATTGCCACTCATAAATTATGGCACCTGAAGACATGACATGGAGAGACCCCAAAGATTTCTAACATATGGTCATATATAATTCTGCTGAGGCAAATTTGAATAATTTCTGCTTCATGTATGTATCTCCAAGTCACTTGGGTGACCTATGTACTTACCCACTAGTCAGTATTTTGTTGTACTTTATTTATCACCATCAATAGACAGAAGTTTTGTTCCTTGTACAATGACCTCAAAAGAAAGTCAACTGCTAATCTACAAAGATATTTGCAAATTTCAGGAACTGGAAAAGGTCTCAGAAAAATATTCTAGCAAATGTCAAAGGTCTATTGTACAATAACATTTTTTTTAAATATAAGGGAAAATTCTTCTTGTATTTCATAAATGGTTTCCAGCAATAAAAAGCCACATGAAAAGGTCAGAGTACATGGTATACAAGGCACCCCATATTTTAGTAGTTTGTCAGTCTGCCTTTCTTCCTTGCCCTCTACCACAGGCTGGCTATTAGGAAGGGTAACTGACTTACAGTCCTGAGACAGGCTCACAGATTGAAACAAATGGAATGTGAGCCACACAGTGATGGCCTCGGCTGGCCTCCTAGACAAAGTCACTACAGACAACGAACAGACTGGATTGTCAGCAGATAGCTGTGAACTAAGCAAAAAGTCCAAGAAGTTAAAATGATATGACAATGCTGATGAACACTGGCTATCTATGACTGGTCTACTGCTTTTGCTTCCAGTTTTCTCAGTGCAAATGAGAACAAGTGTAGAACAAAATGACTTCATCTGGAGACACACAAACTAAAATTGTGACTGTTTGGGGTATTAAATTTTTTTATATTAATGACTCCAAACAACCTTCTTAAATATTGTCTCTTGCTTTACAAGTGGTCTTTAGCTCTACTGGGTTGATTTTCTTCCTAGGTGACTGCTCAGGTCCATACAGGTCCTGACTCTGTGCCCTTTCTTGTACTCTTTCTTAGCCATCCTTGTTTTCTCGGCCTGTCCAAATCACATGTACTCTCTAATGTCCAAGGGAAGTTCAGCATCTTTCAGAAGCCTTACCTGAACATTTCAGTAGTACACAATCTCTCTTTAGTAAATACTCTTATAATTATTTGGCATAATATCTATGTACTATACACAAAATATAGCATTTAACTAAACCATGTGATATACATGGGGGCATCTAAAAATAATATAATTCTTTTCTACCCATGAATGCTGTAATATCTTAAAGACAAAGTTATCTCAAATAAGACATACTATGAAACAAATGGCAAGTGTTTTATCCCCATTTCATAGCTACTCTAGCCTAATTTCAAGTTGTTTCAAATGCACACACTTGTGCCGCCCAATGGTGAAAGTAATTATTGCATGATTACAACTCAGTAATTGGCTTACAAAATGTACAACAAAATCAAATAATGAGTGGGCCAAATGATTACTTATTTGAAATAAAATATTTAAGATATTATTGTTAAACATGATAAAGCATCAGAGATGATGACAAATGTAAATAATTTTTGGTGTTATGACAACTACATTATAAATTTGTTATACAGGCAGAAAAAAAAAAAAAATCTTCTTCAGATGAACCCTTTCCTCTAAGTCAGCATCTTACTTTTGAGTTTGGTTTATTCCAGCAGTGAGAAAAAAATTACACGATCACATACTGAAAGACTCTGTGATTAGGTACACGTGAAATAAATCATCCATAACAGATGCCTATCAGTATATACAAAATGCTCTGCAAAGAGCATGCTAGGATATTATATTGTCTTACTTTTCAGATAAAATTTTTAAATTATTACATACAAATAATATTGACTGAGTCCCTTATGTGTAGGACCTTCCACAGAAGGTCCTACACATAAGGGACTATAAAGCAAGTACACAAATGGTGGAAATAAAGGTACAAAAGGTAAACTTGCTGCAATTATTATTATCGAAACAACATATTTGTGTGATTTTACCTAACTGGTGCTATATTTAAGATAAGTATGCTTTCCAAGTATTCTCTATCTTGGTTAGTTTCTCTACAGAAACTAACTTTTCTTGTTTCACATTACCTCTTATTCAATACTTTCTGCTATACTTAACTTCTTAATGTTCTGAACTTCTCATTTAGCCATCTATGCTAACAACTGCTCAATAGATGGCAGCAGCCCTGAGTTCAGTTACAAGTGTGAACAGTAAAGATGTTACTTTATGGTAATTTACTATGTAGTCTCCAGGATATCACTGGAAGATTGATTATAATGGTTTTAAAGAAAGCTTCTTTTTCATGTAGTTTGTAGTTAAAAACAGATCTCACAAGCCTAAAGACCTAAAAACTATGCTGCACTTGCCTTCTGGTTCTTAGATTTCTTTTCTAAAAGATTTCCTTTCTAGTACTCTAGAGTAGATGAGATCTAAAATCCTCTTCACCTCTGATCCTTGATGAAACTTATTGTCTCTGTTCACCTGAAACCCCTACCACACCTCTAGACATCAGAGCTATCCACAATGTCCTAAATCATGCCTCCTTAGTATGTACCTGCTCCTCCTCTATTTCAGACAACATCATAACCACCTACCTTACGACCACCATCCCTTCATGATCTGGCCTATTTTTTTTTTCTTTCTTTTAATTGTTTCTTGAAGAAAATCATCTAGCTCACTATTGTTAAAAAGGTGCTTTATGATTTGGAGATCTGATTAACTAAAAACACTATAAATACAAGAACCAATAAGTTATAATAGAAAGTATAAGTGTTACTCAGTTAGGACCTATATTCTAATAACTTTGATGAGATTCTTCACCTCAATTTCTGCTTTGGTTTTGTATTACAAGTGACAACTATAATGTAGGGTTGTTATGAGAATTAATTGAATTTAGATGTAAAAAACACCTACCATAATGCCTGGTATTTATTAAATGCTAAAATAACGTTAGCTACAATTACTATTTTAACAATAATCAATATTTATTTTTGCATTTCTAGCTGAAATAAATGGAGTCATCTAAATTGCCATCTTGTTTTCTTGCTGAAGCAAAAGGGATCATCTGTATCTCTCTCTCTCTCTCTCTCTACTAATATATGCTGGGTGGGTAAGGGTGAGGATTAGAACTAGTTCTGACAGGAAAAATTACTAATTGTGGTTATTAGTTAGTGCTTTGAGTAATGACTAAGCAATACACATTTCCTAAGTGTGTAGCAAAGTTATGAATCAGTTTGCTTTTAAAACATTTCCAAGGTTTCAGAACAAAGGGCTTTATGAATATATTCTTATCCACTATAAAATAATTTCTCATTATTATTAATATATCCTGCCTACATTTAGGAAGATCTTTTTTAGCAAAAAGATGTGTTCCAAAGTCAAACATTGTTAACAGAGCCATCTAGTAGATGAATGTGTTATATGATGTCAGAATTACCTTTTTTAAAAAAAAAAAAAAAAAAAAAAAAATACTGGTGACCAAAAAGAATGAGTCCAAATTAGACTCTACAGTAAATGATACCACACAGGAAAAGAGGGAAAAGAGAGAGAGAAAGGAAGGAAAGAAGTATCACCAGAGTAGGGTCTGGGTACCATTTTGCCTATTCCACAGGGATGATGAATTATATCCTTCATGACCTTCAATGGGTTGATGGGCTCACTATTCACAGATAATGTGATACCAAGCTCACATGTCCATGCCACATGTGTGTAAACACACAATTTAAAAACAAGCCAAATTAACAGGGACAACACTCTTGATGTACCATTTCCATGTGATTTTGGACTGGCAGTATGTGTAAATTTCTTTAAAATCATGAGTGCTTAGTTGTTGAAAAGCTTCAACTGAACAGGTTATAGTTCGTATCTTAAAGCACATTAGACACTAAAGGAACAAAGGGAAAGAAGTAAGAACTTTGTAATTTTACTTATATAATAATTAAAGACTTTCCATATTAGGCACAGGCAGTGTAGCAATTACCAGGTGAAGCTGACTATGTGTCACAGATGTCAACATTATACAATGTAAAGCATATAAAGTTTAGCAATTTTGCCACTTTATTGAAAAAAAAAAGAGATGAGTGCTTACCTTCTCTTAGACGCTCTACCACAAAAGTAAAGCCGGTAGTTCTGGGATGTAAGACATATTCATATTTCTGAAGTCCATTTTTTTCAGCAAAATCATTACTTCGAGCTTTGCTGTTTTCTAAACAAAACAACGGACCATTAGAAACCATCAAATAAAGGGTAACAAATAGTGAGGTAAGGAAAGAAGTGCAGAATTTCCTTAATAAAAATGGCAAGTATTATTCTGTAATAACTGAATACAGAATACCAAGAAGATACAAACATTTTAGATAGGCCATTACAAAGATTCTTGACTAATTTAATGGATTTTTAAAAACTTTTTATAACACGGTATCAATAGATTTTTTACATGAAAGTTTCCTGAAATCTATATTCAAATCTTTTAAATGCTTTAGAAGACTTCATAAAAGCCAATATGCAATGAAAACTGAAATAAAATACTAATAAATGAAAACTTTAATAAAATAATCCTTATGTAATTAAAACAAGTACTAAAATTAAAAAAAATGCTAATAAGACTTAAAAACTAACAAAATATAAGGATCTAGCTATCTAAAAGAAACAACTAGCAATCATATATATCAGATTAACATTTTTTTTAACCCAATAATTTAGGCCTTCAATGCAAAGTAAAATATCTGCCTTGCTCAGGCAAAGGACAGGCTAATATTACTAACCAAAACCACTCCGTAACAGAATGGGCACATGATTAGCACATCATGTACAAACATCTGAAGATGGTTTGGCTGAATACAGTTAACAGAGTAGAGTGTATGTTCCAATTGTTGGTGAAACCTTCTTTTTCCATTCCATGAGGTAACTTGCAAGTTCCAAGAAGAACCAAACCCATTATTCAGCAAATACATTTGGTAAAAGTAAAGTATTCAGAAATTTGGCCTCGACTTTTGGGAGCAATCACAAAATACCTTCTGATGACAGCAGATCAGCAATCCTCAGCAATCAGCAATCCTCAGCTACACTCTACAAATTTCGCATTTACATAAATACAACTTTTCCTAGGAGTAAATTTACTAAGCCCTCCAAACCTCCAGAAACCACAGATGCATTCTATAACACTAAAATATTCAAAGAATACTCTTATAGGAGATATTACATCATGGTACAATAAAAAAAAATGGAATCCAATACCCACATATTTTAAGCAAATAAAAAGGAAAGGTCCTAAATATGTAAAGTAAAAAGCTGTTTACATTAGTTTTTGAATGCTGTGGGCATGGGGCTACAAACAGTATTTCTGTTGCAAGTAGCTGGCAGACCTTATATGGAATCAGGAATCCCAGAGACAACATAAATATGAACAGTAACTACTTGTTAGTTTGCTCTTCCAATTTGTCAAAAACTGGGGATTCTGAAGACAAAACTGAATTCTCATATACATGTGCATACAAGTACAAATAGTTCTAAAATGTACAGTCACAGCACGGGAAAGTAGAAACAGAGAGAGAGAGAGATTAGATGCAGATTTTCCTCTTGACCCTACTTTACCTACCCATCCCCAGACTCTGTTCTTATTAGTAATTACACTAACATCCTACTTTCTGACCACAACCTCCTATCAACTCACTCCCTGAAACTCCTCCACTACAGCACTCCTTCCACCCACAGGACTGCAGGCCACTCTCTCCTCAAATCAGCCAGGCATGTCCCCACCTCAGGTCTATGCAGCTTTTCTTCCCCTTTCCCACCTACCATACAGATGCATGGTTTTCAAATTTAGTCCCTACACAGAAAGAGTAGAGATGCCTGCCCTAAATACCTTATATCCAATGGCATCCTGCCTTCTTCTGTTGTTCTCTCCTTATCTGGCCTTATTTTTCTGAACAGCACCTATGACAACCAGACCTACTTTTTGTAACTTACTTATCTCTTCCCTCATATTAACTTCATGAAAGAAGGAACTCTGTTTTGTACATAAAGATCCAGAAACATATATATCTATTAAATGAAAATGTTTTATATACAAGGGTGTTAAATTGTATATAACATTGTAACTGTTAAAGTCTGGAAGCTTTCCTTTCCAAATTAGGGAACTGGAACTCTAAAGTACAATATTCCAATTGTGATGTTTAATTTTATGTGTCAACTTGACTAAGCCACTGTACCCAGGTACTTGGTCAAACATTATTCCAGATGTATACGTGAAAGTACTTATTATATTTTTTTTTAAGATACATTAATATCTAAATCTGTAGACTGAGTAAAGCAGACTATCTTCTACCATGTGGGAAGGTCTCATCTAAATTAACTGAAAGCCTTAACAGGAAAAGATAGTGTGCCCTCCCCTTCTCCACAAGGAAGAAGGACTTCTGCCTCCAGGCAGCCTTTGGATTCAATCTGAAACTCTTCCCTGGGGCTCCAACCTGAGGATGGGCCAAGCCTTCATCAATGCAAAAGCCACTTCCTTAAAATAAACCTTAATCTCTTTCTCCCTATTGGTATACTGTTTCTATTTCTCTGGCGAATACCAATATGTCAATATAATATAAAACTACTCAACCTTTATCAAAGAATATATAATGATGTGAATATTACAATATAACATGAAGGAAAAAAGAACGAAGTATGATCTTAGTTTTTCAATTTTGTTTAAGATTATATATGTATGTATATACATATACACATTGACACCTATGTATGTGTGTATCTGTAACCAAATGACCCAAAAGAAATGGACCAAATTAGAATAGTGTTTACTATGTATGAGCTGTGAAATTATAAGAATTTTTGTGAATCCTTCTATGTTTCTGAACTTTCCAAAACTAACATATATTATGTATTTCTAATACATAGTATTAGAAAAAAGTTAAACAATAATACATGGAGATAGAATGTGTGCAAGGTCATATTTAAATGCACTAATTTGGAAATGTACAAGCAAACTGAATTCAAAATTTAAAGAAAACTATAAAATGTTCGCTTTATCATTAAAAATTCAAATTGAAAGTTAACTGGTAACCAAAAACACTTTTTTTCAATTTTCCAAATTGAAAATATTTTCTTAGCCCTTTTCAAATCATTTTTTTCTAACTCATATAATTCTGCAACAAAACAAAACAAAGCACCAGACCCCACTTTTTATTTCATTAGGGCAAACAGTCTGGCTTTTGTAATTTGGCCTTAAGATGTAAATGCCATTTTAACTTAGGAGCTGGGGTTGTGGCTCAGTGGTAAAGCTCTTGCCTTGCATGCATGAGGCACAGCAATCAATCCTCAGCACCACATAAAAATAACAAAATAAAGATACTGTGTCCATCTACAACTAAAATAAAAAACTTTTTAAAAATAGGAAATAGGAAACACACTGGACTCCAAACGCCTGCGACTAGATGTAAAGTTCATCACCTATAAAAGAAACCTGAGAAAAAATATAAAATGAAAAACATTTTGAATATATTTTATAGATTCTAAAGGTCTAATATATGGAATATGTTAACACTAATATACGGAACATGTTAACACTAATGTACCAGAGGAGCAGCAACATATGAACTTTTTCCCATTAGCGTTTATTTATCATTATTATATTATTTTTATTGTTATTATAAAGTTCCAAAATTGACATTCTTTAGTGTACATTTTGTCATTCACAAAAATAAATCAGGATGCAATTCAGTCAATTGTTTTCTATACTCCATCAAACGAAACTGACATTTCAATATCCAAGGTTAGGCTTTATACATTCTAAGTCTTATAAAATTTAAATTGGCTATCTTTCCAGTTTAATTTCTAAAGGTAGTTTGGCACTGGAAATCAATTAACTTGAAACCTACAATGGATCTATTTTCAAGCTTAAACAACAGGTAGCCAATATTAGCCTTCATATTATCCCCTTTGATCCTGATTTTAAAATTTTAACCATAAAATCAAACAGGTGTTACACAATAAGCATGTATTTTAGAGACTGCCCAAGTAATAAGTATTTCCATGGTTCATTTAGCTCAGCTCCATCTGTAATAGATAAGTCAAAGATCTCTTTGTTGCTATCTTTGGTAACTGTTTCCCCAAAATACCTTAGTTCTCCTTATCAACCTCAGTTGTGGCTCAGTCAATCCTCACTTACTTAAATGTTTCTATAAATTTTATTTTTTATTATGAACTCTTTTTGGGTAATTTGTTCCATAAATTATGTCCATGTTTTAAATTAATATTTACTTGACTTGTTCTCTTTTTTAAGCTCTAAGGGTTGCCCTTCTTTGTTTAGTACATGTTTTTCCTTTCCATACTATTTGTGATTTTTAGACTTCCATCTACTCTGCTTTTGTCTGTTTTTCCTCATGCGGCACACATTCATCCACTGGATCCTTTAAATGTGCTGCTGTATCTTTCCTGAAAGATACCTTTAAGGTATTAAAGTTAAATTCTGCTCTTTCAAGTCCAAGGATTCTCTAGAATTGCTTCCTATGGAAGCTATGCCCTGTTTGCATCATTCCTCCCAGTATTCAACCAGGATAGTTCCACTTTTATCCATCTTACATTCTGGACTGCAAAAGAAGGTTTGATCTGTAAAAATGACCTGGGGTTTAAATAAGTGTGGTAGAAAACACTAAGTTAGTAACTATGATAGACTGTAAAGTTTTGTTTTGTTTTTTGGTACTGGGGATTGAACCCAGGGGTGCTTTACCACTGAGCTATATCTCCAGCCTATTTATTTAATTTTGAGACAGGGTCTTGCTAAATTGCTTAGGGCCTTGATAATTTGCTTAGGGTCTCACTAAGTTGCTGAGGTTGGATCTGAACTTGTGATTCTCTTGTTTCAGCTCCTGAGCCACTGGGATTACAGGTGTGCACCATTGTGCATGGCCAGAGTATACAATATTTTGTTTTTAATATTTTTGATATCTGGGATGATAGAAAGTTCTAAACATGTCCTCCTGTTTTCCCTCTATACCTCAATGATGGCTGTTTTTTGTTTGTTTTTTTTGTTTTGTTTTGTTTTTAAGGAAGAGATAATGTCTTTCCTGCCTATAAGAGGAATAAGGTTTAAATATCAAAAGAAAGGTAATTAAGTTAACTTAAATCAACAATAATTGAAATTAGTTACTATCAGATTCTTTTCTGTAAGGAAGACACTGAAAGCAAAAAGAGTTTAAAGGATAAATAAATACCTTGAAAGCAGACAAGAGAATATATAGAACAGAAGGCGGGACAAACTTCACCAAAAATATGATTAAAAACTGGCTTACATAAAGATAAAGGGTTGAAATATTAAAATATTCTGGGGCTAAAATGTAAAGTTCTAGGATAGCAGTTGTGAATAACAACAATCACTTGGGCTTGCCTATAATAAATTCCATGGGCTGGAATCCTGGGTCCTATAAATTAAATAGTGTCTTGGGCCTGACATCCTATTGATTACATGAATGACCTTGGGGGTGATCTAGTAATCTTGTTGGTATTCAGTTACTTCATCCAAGGAATAAGAAGTTTTAACTAGATGCTTTAAAATTCTGTGATATAAACCCAGGCTGTCTTACCTGTGAGATCAGTCCCTTCTGGGAATATGAGGAGCTGAAGTGGTTCATGGATATCACAAAAATAATCAATCATGTCTTCAAAATGGTTCTTATCATCCTTCCACTTCCTATGAATAAAGATATAGGCAGCAGCCTGCATGGCCCAACCTGGAATAAATTTAACGAACATTTGCGCAGTTTCATTACCAATATCTACATATTATTATGTATAACTTTTCAAGTTTTTAATTTTAGTATAAATTATTTACTATCATAATAACCAACCCTGATATGCCATAAATTCAGCACTAATTTTGGGTTACATAATAAAAGATAAACCAGAATATATTTTTAAGAGGGTTTAAAGGTTATCTTGGAATTTGCAAAATTCTCAAAAATCTCTTTTCAAGCCCAAACTAGCTATTAAAATATCAAGGCAATAAATTTCCCTGATATTTATCACTAACTCATCCAAGGTTTTAAGAATCCTAACAAAACAGACATTTTAACCAAGCTATCTACAAAAGATAAAAGAATGTGTTATAAGGTTTACAAAGCAGTAAAAAAAGAACTGTTGTCAGGTCATTTATTGTATTCTCTTGAATATTTACTTTCTTGTATTACTCAATCTCTAAATGCAATTGCTATTTTCAATGGTAGTCACTTTATTTAAAAGAAAAGGGGAATTGTGCAATGACTAGGAACATGTTGGCTGGAGCATATACTGTGGTCACACTGCCTTTCTCCAGGGCAAATGAGCCTTGCTGATGAAAAGGCAGCCCTAGATCAGCCTTATTTCAGATGACCACCTAGCTCTCCCTTGCCATGGAGACTGGAACTACTATGGGAGATGCCAGGCTCAAGGTGACCTATCTATAATCTGGGTAATAGCCCACATGGAAAACTTGGGCCACACACAATAATTACCTAGGTCAACCCAATGTTCTTTCTGTCAGAAATTTCACCTAGGACCACAGGGAATTGAGTTCATTTCAACAATCATATTTCTTATTCTCAAGATTTACAATTATTTCTTTTTCATATTAGCCAATTTTTCTGAGTTCACGTGATTATAATAAAAGTAATGTTTACTGTGTGCCTGGTGCTATTCTATGTATTAATTTTCAAAATTAGTTTGTAAATTAGGTAAATTATTATCCCTATTTTGGGTGAGGAAACTGAGGCACAATGAGACCCAAACAACTAGTTAGTGGTAAAACCAGGTTTCAAACACAGGCTGTCTGGCCCCACAGCTAAAGTTTTAAATAATTATAGACTATATACTAAACAGTCTCTGTGCAATATATACCTAGATTCCTCTAAAGATATTAATTACACACAATTTAAATTATTCTTAGAAAATCTTTTATTACTCAGAAATTAGACTTTTTCATTTTTTTTTAGTACAAAACTCATTCTCTTTAAAACCTTTTATTCATCTCAAATGTCTACCAATTTGGTTCTGTTTTCATATTTATGAAGGATGTCCTATGCTGAGCTGACAGGTGGAATGCAGTTCTCCCTTTCATGTAAGAAAAAGTCCCCCTTAGGGAAAGAGAATGGTAGCAGTATCCCTGAGGTTTTGCTGTAACACTTTTCTCATATTCTGTATGGTCCTGGAATTCCAGCATAGATATAAAATGGCTAAATTCAACCTCTTGAATCTCTCCTCTGAAGAGTTGAGATTCTTCCCCATGGAGCCTGTGCTTTCTTATGTTCATTTACATATCACTGATGTTTTTGAATCTTTTTTTACTTCCTTTAGCTTAAATGTTTTTCTCTCCTTTTTTTTCCATAAAAGTCACAGGAACATCTTGTAAGTTTTTTCCCTCCCCTTTCACTGTCACGAGTGCATATTTTATCCATGTTTAAAGCAACAGATACTCAAATTTTTTAACCTGTTGAGATCCTCAAAATTTATGATGTTTATTTCATACTTTTATGAGCTAATTAATGACAATGCAAGTTATAAAATTTAGAATTCGGCTATATAACTTGTCTTTTTAATACTTTTCTCACTGTAGGACATACTGTCTTTATGCTGAATTTCTCCAGGCAAGGGTTGGGCACCTGGCAAATTTATAAAGAGAATCTGTGGATACTGGCATAGCTCTATGGCCACCATCTTTCTGAAATCCCATTTATAGTATCAGCACTGCATTCCCACAGCAGATGTGAGTAACCCCTGAGCATTTTCCATTGTCCAAACCTAGTCCATAATTTTAGAACCAAAATTTATTTGACTTATTCCCTTTTACCAGACTTTAAAGTTGGCTACAAAGATCTATTTACTTGAATGTGTATTACTTATTCATTCTTTCTCAATAAAAAGTAAGTCTATTCACCTTTTTTTCTCCCTAAAACAGTTAAGGGAATCACAAAAACATCACTACTCTCCTAGTGCTCTAAATACTAAATCTCAAAGATAGGTGCTAATTTATCACCACTGTTTACATATTCATAATGTATGGTATGGGCTATTATCTATTGTGGGATTATGAATATGACACAGGAGGCAAAAAGTCCTGTGGAAGAGATAGTTATTCCCTTCAAAAGTATTTTCAATTCTGAATGGATAGGGGTATGATCAAGGAAATACTGCCTGTAATAAATGAGAATTAAAAGTACTATGAACAGATGCAAATTTTATGTGAAAATATTATATCACAAAGATCATGAGAAAACACTTCATTTACTGAGTGTGTACTAATATGTAACCAAAAGCAGTTATACAAACAAACCCAGAAATTAATTAATGAGTAAAGTTCTCAAATCTGCAATTTCTATCAGGTTATCATATGCTATTTAGACAAAGTTAGAGAAGCTGTATTGTCCCTTAACTCACATTACAAATTAGGTAAGGCTCTCTATATACTTCTTCTAAAATGAATAATTTCCATAAAGGTCTGGCTCTTAAAAACATTGAGTAAAAGTGAACAATTAACTTTATGACCTTGTCCTATAATAATCCTATTGTAGTATACCTGTATTATTAGGTCTCAAATGTGCCTGTGCTGATAATACAAGATAGAAATCAAAATATGATAAAGCAATTAAATACTATTCAAAGCAAACTTAATTCTAAACATAATTTCAAATTTTAAAAACCACAAAATGGAGAAAAATGGATGAAAACACTGCAAATTTCACTACACTCCACAAAGAAAGATTATCAACACCAAAAGGACCTATGATTAGAGACATCCCTGTAGCAACTATCATGTGTTAGGCAGAAATAACTATGCCTCCTCAAGATGTCCATACCCTAATTCCTTGAACTGTGAATATTAGATTACATGGCAAAAAGGAATTGAGGTTGTCAATCAACTGAATTTAGGATAGGGAGATTATCCTAGATTATTCTAGTGACTCAAAGTAATCACAAGGGTACTTAAAAGTGGAAGAGAGCCAGTGTATGGTGGTACATACCAGTAAACATAGATACTCAGGATCTGAGGCAAGAGGATCACAAGTTTGAGGCCAGCCTGGGCAACTTAGTGAGATCCTCTCTCAAAAGTAAAAAATTTTAAAAAGGGCCAGGTATGTAGCTGAGTGGTAGAGTGCTTGACTAGTATAGGTGAGACCCTGGGTTCAATTCCCAGTACCACCATAAATAAATAAATATATTTTCTTTTTTAAAGTGGAAGAGAGAGACCCAAGAAGACTCAATATTTGAGTGACAGAATGTGTGACAAGGACTCAACCAACTCTTGTTGTCTTTGAAAATGGTGGAAGGGGCTAAAAAACCAAGGATCCCAAGGGCTATGGAAGCTAGAAGAGGCAAGAAAACAGACCCTACCAGGGCCTACAGAAAGGAACCAGGCTTGCCAATGCCTGGTTCCATTTAGCCCAACAGAACCCAAAATAGAATTCTGACTCCAGAACTGATAAGACTCATTTTATTTGTGCATTTCCATTAAATACAAAGCAGGTATAAAAACTCTAAAGTTCATACCAAATTATTTTACTGCTTTCTCCTAAAATTACCCTGTTACAAAAGCATATCTTTTAGAAAATTTCAGAATGTAACTACTAATTCAAGGAAAAGAATTCCTTAATTTTCAGCAGAACTGAGGACAATAAAAGTCCTATAGGCCTCCTAGCTCATTCTTGGGATGCCTTGCAGCCTGGAGGAATGTGTATCTCACTGGGATGTTAACAATGACACATATCAACAGGATAGTCAATTTAGGTAGCCAATTGTATTAACTTCAGCAATGACTGAATGGATAACCTTAAAGCCTAGAGTTATTTCTCCCATCAAGGAAAATGTCAATTTCCATGTAGCTCAGGGCTTATACTGTGTTCAAAAGCTAACATATTCAAAGCAAAAGCTTCAATTCAGTTACTAAGATCTCAACACCATCTCCCTAAATTAGTTAATTCTCAGTGTGATCCTAGAAAGAATCCTAGTATACCATCTGGCACATAAGTTACTAAATTAACTGAATTTAACCTTTCTTTTCATGAATCTTCTTGCTACAACCCTACTCTCAAAGATCAAAACCCATCTCAGCCAAACAACTCTGGCAAATGAAACTAAAAAAATTAACAATTACAAAAACTTATTTTTCAATTACCAGTACAAATTCTAAAATGAAATGATCTGTTATGTGTCCAAATATAAGCAAAGATGTGTGTACATCTTCTAGGCAACAGAACTAGAATGTATCTAATAAGCTCTGTCTATTATACTTCACTTGATAGTTTTCATAAAAATCTTGATTCATGATAAGCATTTAATAAAATTCATTCCATGAGTCAACCAGTCAATGAGTATTTTTCTTCACAATTTGGTGAAACAAGGGAAAGCAAGTGACACAGAATGCTTGTGGCTATAAATAACAGAACAGCAACCTAAAAGTCTAGATTTAAATAATCTGGGTTTAAATTTCTCACATACAAAGTCTGGCCCCAGTGTTGATTCAGTACTCAGTACCTCATTTTTTACCTGCCACCCTTCTGAGGCCCTCTCTTCCAGATCCACAGGTTACAGAAGCTCCAAGTATCACAGCTCTCATAATAATATAAATGCAGAACAGGACAGCACAATCCCATCAAACTCTTCTCTCTTATTGAGGAGGAAGATCTTTCCCAGAGCCTCCCAAAAGCCTCCCTCTGTCCCTTTGATGAGACTGGCTCAAACAATCATCCCTGCTAACAAGAGGCTAGGATAGCCAGTATTAGTACCTTCATCCTCTGTGATAGGATGTGCACACCAGAAAGGTTTGTTGTTGAAATGAGTCAAACATCATCTTTGGTCTTTAGTTGTTTAAAAATAAATGGAACAACACAGAGAAGACGGCTGGCCATGAAACTCTGTGACTTAGATACAACAGAAGTCATAATTCATCAATTCACTAAAGAAGGGAAGGCCAACAGAAAGTTTGCTGTGAAAGTAACAACTTAAGTTTTTACTATCGTATAGAATAAGTAGCCAGGAATCTTCAACTGGAAGAGTCACAGATGGAGCTTCTAGTATACTGGCAGTAAGTGCTTCCAGGAGGGCCGAGTTACTTTGGGTGAGGAGGCACATGTATCTTCTCCAGGTGATGAAGCTTGCAACAGTGAAGTGTTCCTGGTACTGAGTCTTGTGGCAAGTCTTTTCCAATTTACAAACATATTCATCTTATTCTTCTGAGTTATAAGGCAGGGGAATAGCAGGAAATTTTGTTAAACTAAAAGGAGTGTCCACCAAACTAGATGAAGTCAAAGACAGTCATGGCTTTGTTGCAATTTTAGTGAAAGTCCACTTCAAATAGGAAGAAGCTAGGTGGGAAAGGGAGTGTTTTTCTTTTTAAAGGGGATAAAATTTGGCATTATAAACATCTTAAACAGAAAAACATCCATCCTTTGTGTTTAATATATAATAGTAAAATCAAGATGACTTTCGTAAGTTTAGTTATTCTTAAAACTATATGTGAGCAATGACATCTTAACATAAATTTATACAGTTGTGTCTCATATAGTAATGTTTGGGTCAACAATACACCACATATATAATGTTGGGTTTTATAAATCATATTGCCTAGTGACTTTGTAGCCATCTTAGTTTGTATAATTTTGTGCCATGTTTACACACCAACAAAATCAGCTAATGGCACATTTATCAGAACATATTCTCATCATTAAGCAATACATGAGTGTACTTTACTAACATTTGTAAATGAATTCATGAAATTTAGATAAAACTGAAAATATGAACACTTAAATCATTGCTTTCCTATCCACATACAACCCCTGCCCTGCAGCACTGTCAGGTTTAATAGCACTATGCATTGTACTCATGTTTCTACAATGTGTTGATCAGATATACAACAGATTTTAACTGAGTTGTTCTTATTCATCATCTTTACAAAGAAAAATGCATATAAAATTACCAAAGGCACTTAAAATAAATTCTTGTCATTTTTTAAAGTAATTTTGACCAAAAAAAAATCATTTACCATTTTGGCAGATAGGTTATATTTTGGGATGGTGAATTTATGAACTGCCTCCTACCCAGTTTTGATTACTCTGTGAAAGCAGACCACCACAGGAACTCCTGTTCCACTCGTAGCCTTTGCACATCCTAAAAAGTGAGAGTGGATAAAAAGCACTCATTCATCAGAATGGCCAAGCTATTTCTGCAGACTTCTCTCTGGTTTCATTCAGAACCATCTAGATACATTACAATCTATGATATTCCTAGATTTCAACATTATATTCAGCTTTAGAATCCCAGAATTTAATTTGAAATCATGAGGTCAGATCAGTAAAATGTTTAGTTTAGTACATGACTTATTCAGTTTTTAAATCTTCAGTTTTTATCTCTGTATATTTACTCTTATTTTTATGCTTTCTAAAAGCCTTCGACTGTTCTGCCACTCAAGTGTGATTAATTAATGATCCAGAGAAACCAAGAAGCCAAGAGTTGAATGGGCACAAAAAGCACACTCATTTCTTGGTACAAAATCACCAAAAAAATGGACTTTAATGACACTTTTAAGTTTAATACTTGATTTCACGAGTTATTATTAAGTGGCCATAAAGTTAGCTGGAAACAACAATCTATTTGCACTCCATTAGCAACAGGACAATTTTTAAAAAATATTTTTTTAGTTTTGATGAACCTTTACTATATTTTATTTATACATGGTGCTGAGAATAGAACCCATGCCTCACACATGCTAGGCAAGCACTCTACCACTGAGCTACAACCCTAGGCCCTCTACAGGACATTTTTCTTTTTTCTTCTTTTTTTTTAAATCACACACACAGACACTTTATTAATTTCTTCTACAAGAGACAATTAATATCAAACTTTTAACAGAAATGTCAGGTCATTGGAGAGGCCAAACAGATTCCAGGAAGAAAGATACAAAATTTAAACTTAAATTAAAAGGCACTAGGATACCACCTAAAACCCACCACCAAGGTGGAAGTAGGCTAAGGAAGGTTAAGCTACAGCAAAATATCTAATGTTAATGTTAGCAATTACACAGCAGGAAGCAAGTCTGTGTTCTAGAAGACTATGATACAATGATTGTTTGGGCCCAAGAGGATATCTGGCCAGGAAAAGGTCAAAATGGCTGAAGTTGAAAGCCATAGAAAGGAATAGGTACAAAGGGAATACAAGCTACATGGTCAAGCAGATGACAATGAATCGGGCTTCTTCCTCCCAAGAAACATTTGCTGCACTGAGCTACCCTCTCCCCCCTCAGAATCCCAACCAACAGTTTTTTCAGGCTGAGTTGCCTGCTCCTCCCTTAACAGGGTGCTTGCTCAGAATAGGTTTGGGGGTTGCCCAGGGCTCTTGTTCTTAATTTAGCATAGATCTTGGAGAACTTGTCACTCATGGACTGCTTTGTTGCTAGTTGTTCTGATAAAGAAAAATCCCCAAAGCATTCATATGCAAAATCTGAGCTTCCCCAACCATCTAAACAGCCTTATTCAACACCCTCAGAAGCTGAACTCTAGTTAAAGCTGCAAGGTTCACAAAATCATTAAGGAAGCCAGATCTACCTCTACGTCTACAGGACATTTTTTTCTAATTTTATAAATCTTAACAAAGTCTAAATAGTAATTTATCAAAAATTCCTTATAATTTGACCTAGAATCTAAATACAATGATTTCTTTCCTTGCTTATTATGTAAATCTGTTATTTTGATTCCTAAGGAGAAGAACTTTTAAATTTCTTATTATTTTTCAAATTTTTTCACTTATTTACCTATTCTCCAGCCTGGCACTACAGATGTAATATTATTTCCATTTGTAAATTAACTAATTAGACCAAATAACTATATTCTAGACATTTGGCAAACAAACATGTACTTGAAAAACAATTATGAATAACAATCTTAAGTACTCACTAAAATCAAACTGTCAGTAGGCAAGGTCTCTTAGAGTGTGAAGCAGGATAAAATCACACCAAATTGTCAATGGCCTAAGTCTCACACAGCCTCAAGCAGGATACAGCCAACCACTAAAATGCACCCAGTTTTCCTTTTCTTCAACATTTTTTTTCTTCAGGCAAGTTATTCAATTTTCTCCTTAACTCTCATTTGCATCATGCAAATTTTGTTTGCTGCCTACACTTATGTCTTTCTTCATTTAATTTGTGTTTGCTTGGTTTAGAGGTTCTAAAATCCTTTTTTCTCTAATCCAACATCTGTTCTCATTAATAGTTTCCATTTTCATGAAATCCTATCAAGTCTACAAATAGTTAAGAACTCACAATGTGTAAGATACTCTAAGGACTTTATAACTCATATGGGAAAACTAAGTAGGCAAATGGGAAAGTTAAGAATGAAATGCTTAAACAGGAAATGAAGAATTTTTCTCTAATCTTGAAGGAGGAAAAGTTTGCAATAATAAAAATGACTACCCTAAACAAAGAAAATGGACAACAGGTAGAAAAAGATTATTTGCAACATGCCAGAGACAAAAAGCTATTATTTTTACTCAGAACTTGTATAATCCAACAGAATAAAGACCAAGATTCCCAAAGAAAAATGTCCAACCAACCTCACTTATAATAAAATAAATCAGTATAAATCCACATTGAAATACCTTTTCTATCCAAGTATAACTTGGATATAAAGTATAACTTGGATAAGACCATGGATTTCACAGCACTATGTTGGTGAGAGCATAATAAAAGTCTTATAATGAGTACAAGTTAAAACACTGTGTATCTCAAAGAAACTTTAAGCAGCCATTTAAAGACAAGTCAATTAGAGATGTACTGACATAGAATAATCTCCAAGATATATTACTAAATATTAAAATAAATAAAAGGTGAATACCAATGTATATATTTTGTTTCGTTCATTTAAAAAAAAAAAACAAAGTTGGGTATAGCAAAAGAATCTGCTTACATATGTGTGGAGTATCTCTGAAAACAACTGGTAAACAACTGCTTTGGAGAAGGAAACGGAGTGACTACAAGGTAGGGATTACCAAGAAATTCACTTTATACTATGTACTATGTACCTATTATGTGCAATACACACAAATTAAAACTTTTAAAGTTAAGCATACTATTTAAAATTAAATCTTTCCCATGTCTTTGATTCTGGAACCAGACACACCTGATTTCAAAATTATTTCCATCCTATAGTATGTGCAACAGGCAAGTTATTCAATTTTCTCCAATTGCATTTTCTTTAACAATGATACTATGCTATAACATGCAGTTGTGATTTTTCAATAAGATAAGGCACCTAAAGTTCCTGGCATAGTATTTGGCAGAGTCCCATGTAATAAATTATTAGACTCTTCTTCACTTTTCTTCCTTTGCATTGCCTCATTTTCTAAACTCTGAGATAGACCAAGACAAAGGAGTATAAACTATTCATTCATAAAGAGAAGAAGTTTTAAAACTTCTAGTGGATAGTTCACTTTAGCATGACCCCATGGGAATCTACAGGTTTTTTGTTTGTTTGTTTATGTGGTTTTATAATATATGATCCTAAATAAATTAAATGTAGACTAGACAAGCCTATTAAAATAGCATATATGAAACTGAAAGAGAACATTTAATGGTTCCCAGACTCTGCCTAAACATGTTTGATAAAGCTAATTTTAGAATAGGAGATAAATTTTCTATATTTAAATTTGAATCAAATTGATACTTATCTGAGAATATGGATTTTAAATATACTGTTAAATGTTGATGAAACTTTTGAACCTTTGACATTTTATGATAATGAGATCATGTTATTTCCATCCAAAATTCACTGATCTTTCATACGCAGATTTTATAATTTCATTTTACCAAATGACCTCTAGTCTAATTTGCTTTCTTAGAACCCAAACAGCCCAGACCCTGTATAATATAAATACAAAGTTTTCAAGAGAAGGTAGTGAGGATTTGTGGGAGCAAAAGCCAGAGACAGCCCTGTGATCTCAGCTGTACCAGTCCGGAGTGGCAACTCCGCCTGCTTGAGCTGGGAGTGAGGTCTTATTTAAATGCCATGGAATCTCATTGCTCCTAACAAATCTTAGTAAATTTTCCAAAGACATGTGTCTACATTTGCTATTTATATTTCAGACAATTTCTAGAGAATGACTGATATAACAGAATTTCACTAGAGAGCAGTCTCTGAAGCTTCTCCTACTATAATGCTGGAAGCATGCAATTCTTTTTATTTCATATATATCTTATACACATAGCCTGACAGTAATTTTAGGCACTATTTTAAAATAATTTCGTATATCTGACAGTGACCCATCACAAGAGATCAGGGATGGAATTTTCTCCTTGTGGTGTGTTGAAGCTCAAAGAGTTTTAGACTTTGGTTGGGCATGGTGGTACATATCTACAATTCTAGTGGCTAGGGAGGCTGAGGCAGGAAGACCACAAGTTCAAAGTCAGGCTCAGTAATTTAGTGAGATCCTGTCTCAAAATAAAAAATAAAAAGGACTGGGATGTGGCTCAGTGGTTAAGTGCCCCTGGGTTCAAACCCTAGTACCAAAAAAGTTTTAGACTTTGAAGAATTTCAAATTTCAGATTAGGAATGCTCAACCTGACATATATTAGATCTTTAACCATCTTCCATTTCAATTACTTCTCCCTGATAAATTTATTCTCTCTTTTTCTTGCTTTCCAGCAATAAAGTATTAAATTTTATTTTATTCTACCTCTTCTTGGGTACCTCATAAAATTTTACTCTTCATTTCTAATATGATTTTCTTTTTGTTCTATTTTTTCAACTCAACTCTCATTATATATCTTGTTTCTCATCCCATTACTATTCTTTGCGTTTCTCAAAGTGTTTTTATCCCTAATCTCAAATGCATGCTTAATAATATTTAATTCAGCGGAGAGTACTGTGCTGCAGTATTATTTTTTTTCCAGTTCTGTTCTCTATTTAGAAGTTTCATATATGGATACGAAAGTCTTTTGTTTATTGCTTCTTTTGTGGGTTTACTTTTGCAGTGGAGAAGTGAAGGGGAAGTTACTCCTTGGTTCTCTTACATCTTGCAGGAT